CAGAGGTTGCAGTGAACTGAGATTGAGCCACTGCACTCCAGCCTGGGTGACAGAGTGAGACTCTGTCTCAAACAAACAAACACAAAAAAAAAACAGAACTGTGAGATGATAAATTTATGTAGTCTAAGCCACCGATTCTGTTGTTTAAACCACCCTGTTTGTGGTTGTTATGGCACCCTTAGCAAACTGATACAGTTGGATAAAAGGCGACTCCTGTCGTATAGTGGCAGAAAGTTTGGCAGCACTGTTGTCTAAGGTAATGTAAAAAGCAGAAAGAGTAGCGAGTATGTGGTGTGTACCTATAGACCCGGCTACTCAGGAGGCTGAGGCAGAAGGATCATATGAGCCCAGGAGTTCAAGGCCAGCCTGCGTCACATAGTGAGACACATCTCAACAAAAAAAAAGAAAGGAAAGAAAGGGTATCTCATGAAAATTAGAAAGCGCAGTTAATGATCTTGTATCTCATGGGTTTGGCTGGGGAAGTTTCCAGTCAGAGTGTTGAAACTGCCAAGTGGAGTCTTCTATTTGTCTAAGACAAAATACAAGAAAATTGAACTAAGGAATTATTTAATTTTCAAGCAGCACTTAGAATATTAAAAAGTCAAGACTTGCTAGGTCAAAAATAAACCTGTTTCTAACCTCTAGTATCTCCCAACAAAAAGACTTTCACAGCAAGAGATGACCTAATAGTAAAGATTAAATTCAATACACTTTAAGTAAAGTATGGCCTCTGGGTAAGAATAACCTCAGGGAGGCCGGGCACAGTGGCTCATGCCTGTAATCCCAGAACTTTGGGAGGCTGAGGCGGGTGGATCACAAGGTCAGGAAATTGAGACCATCCTGGCTAACACGGTGAAACCCCATCTCTACTAAAAAATACAAAAAATTAGCCAGGCATGGTGGCGGGCACCTGTAATCCCAGCTTCTTGGGAGGCTGAGGCAGGAGAATGGTGTGAACCCAGGAACCAGAGCTTGCAGTGAGCCGAGATTGCGCCACAGCACTCCAGCCTGGGCAACAGAGTAAGACTCCATATCAAAAAAATTAAAAATAAAAAATAAAAATAAAAAAATAACCTTGGGAGGCCAGGCATGGTGGCTCACACCTGTAATCCTAGCACTTTGGGAGGCCAAGCCAGGAGAACCACTTGAGGACAGGAGTTCAAGACCAGCCTGGGCAACATAGTGAGACCTGGCCACTATAAAAATAAAAATAAACAATAATAATCTTAAGGGCTTTTTTCAGCTCAGGAAACATCTGTGAGATTGAAGGGCATGCTTCATAGACATTCCCAATTAGACAAAAAGGCTTCAGGAATTTTAAGAGCATTATCTCAGAGTACATTGATTCTAAGTCCAAGGAAGAGAGAAAATAGCTTTTAAAGACTTTAGGGGACCAGACATAGTGGCTCAGGCCTATAATCCCAACACTTTCGAAGGCCAAGGTAGATGGATCACTTGAGTCCAGGAGTTTAAGACCAGCCTGGCCAACATAGTGAGATCCCCCAGTTCTACAAAAGAAATTTTTCTTATTAGCTGGGCATGGTTGCATGCACCTGTAGTCCCAGCTACTCTGGAGGCTGAGGTGGGGAAGATTGTTTGAGCCTGGGAGGTCAAGGCTGCAGTCAGCTAGATCGTGCCACTACACTCCAGCCTGGGTGACAGAGCAAGACCCTGTCTCTTAAAAGACTTTAGAGTGTGGCTTTTGTCTAATAGAATGAACCTCAATACTGTTAATAGAAAACTCAAAATGTTTTTAAGAGAATTATATTGGTAGAAGCACCATGAACTTGAACTGAAAAGAACAGATAATTCAAAATGAAAAGAGACCTCAGGGCACCCAACTTTATATAGAGAGGAAGCAGACTGAAAAGGCAACTTATTTGCAAACACAGGTTATTTTTTATGGAAAAGGAAGCAAAGATAAATGCAGAGCCAAGAGTCCAAAGGGAAGAGCCAAGGGTCCAAAGGGAAGAGCCAAGAATCACAGAGAAAAACTCCCTTGGAGCAGGACTAGGCCTTAGTCAAGGAACTAGAAATATGTGCCTGGATGGATTTCAGAATTGCTATGAGCCAGTAACTGCTATGTGGCTCTCATTCTTCCTCCCTCCACCTTTTCCTTATTCTTTTTTTTTTTTTTTTTCGAGACAGCGTCTCACTTCATGCCCCCAGGCTGGAGTGCAGTGGCATGATCTTGGCTCATTGCAACCTCCACCTCCCGGGTTCAAACGATTCTCCTCCCTCAGCCACCCAAATAGCTGGGACTACAGGCACATGCCACCATGCCCAGCTAATTTCTTTGTATTTTTAGTAGAAACGGGGTTTCACCATGTTGCCCAGGCTGGTCTTGAAAGCCTGAGATTGAGCAATCCACCCACCTCAGCCTCCCAAAGTACAAGGATTACAGGCATAAGCTATCATGCCTGGCCCCTCCACCTTCTTCTTTTTTCTTTCTTTCTTTCTTTTTTTTTTTTTTTTTTTGAGATGGAGTCTCACTCTGTCATCTAGGCTGGAGTGCAATGGCACAATCTCAGCTTACTGGAACCTCTGCCTCCCAGGTTCAAGAGATTCTCCTGTCTTAGCCTCCCAAGTAGCTGGGATTACAGGCACACGCCACCACGCCCGGCTTAATTTTTGGTATTTTAGTAGATACAGGGTTTCACCGTGTTGCCTAGGCTGGTCTTGAACTCCTCACCTCAGGCAATCCACCCTCCTTGACCTCCCAAAGTGCTAGGATTACAGGCGTGAGCCACTGAACCTGGCCCTTCCTCCACCTTTTTCAATGGGAGTATTTGCTATAATTTTGCTGTACTTATATCACCGTTACATGTTGGCCAGTGTGCAAAATAGAGTTAACCATAGCAGGCCCCTCTACTTATCCCTCTACTTATCCTTAGGCCAGGCATGGTGTTTCATGACTGTAACCCCAGCACTTTGAGAGGCCAGGGCAGAAGATCACTTGAGCCCAAGAGCTTGAGACCACCTGGGCAACATAATGAGACCTCATCTCTACAAATAAAAAAAAAAATTAGCTGAGCATGGTGGTGCATACCTATGGTCCCAGCTACTCAGGAGGCTGAGATGGGAGAATCATATGAGCCCAGGAGGTCAAGGCTCCAGTGAGCTGTGATTGCACCACTGCATTCCAGCCTGAGTGAAATGAGACCCTACCTCAAAAAAATAAAAGTAAAAAGCTAGACAGGCATGGTGGTGCATGCCTGTAGCCCCAGCTAATTAAGAGGCTGAGGCAGGGGGATCACTTGAGCCCAGAAGTTTGAGGCTACAGTGAGCCATGATTGCACCACTGCACTCCAGCCTGAGCAATAAAGCAAGAACCAGTCTCTAAAAAAGATAAAAGGCAGAAAGGTCTGCTTCCAAGGTTAGCCTTTGTTTTGTTTTGTTTTTTGAGATGGAGTCTCGCTCTGTTGCCCAGGCTGGAGTGCCGTGGTGCGATCTCGACTTACTGCAAGCTCCACCTCCTGTGTTCAAGCGATTCTCCCACTTCAGCCTCCCGAGTAGCTGGGACTACAGGCTCATACCACCATGCCCAGTTAATTTTCACATTTTTTGTAGAGACAGGGTTTTGCCATGTTGCCTAGGCTGGTCTTGAACTCCTGAACTCAAGTGATCCACCCACGTCGACCTCCCAAAGAGCTGCAATTACAGGCGAGAGCCACCACGCCTGGCCACTTTGCCCTGTACCTTCTTGTAGTAAATCTTAGCCATGAATATGACTATTTGCTGAGTCCTGTGAGTCTTTGTAGTGAATCATTCAACCGCGGGTGGGGGACCCCTAACACAGGCAAGAGACACAAATAATTTGTCTCTAGTTTGTGGCTCTTCTGATCCAGAGGAGATTGCAATCAAGGAGCCTCATTCACACCTGAACCTAATTTATATGCGAGCCTGGACTTCAAGCCAATACCATGAAAGGGACATGAATCGTGGTAGCCTGTGCTGTTCATTCTATTGCTTCCTATAGACACACATCAAGGAAGTCTAATTCCCCTCCTCTGGAATATGGGCTAAACTTCGTGACTTGTTTGAGCAATAGAGTGTGGCAGAACAGGGACTTCTAAAACTAGGTTGTAAACTTTTCACCTGGATTTCTTGGAATTTTCACTCTTGGGTTGCTCCCTCTTGGAAACTTCCTTCCATCCTCTAAGAAGCTAAAGCCACATGGAAAGGCTGCATGGAGAGAGAGAATAATGCTGGCCAACCCCTAGCTGTTTCAACCACACAGCCCATAAATAAGATATGTTAGGAAAGGAGGAAAGGAGCTACCTGGGACACTCTAGACCCAGTAGACGCTACATGGAGCAAAACTGAAGCCCCAGACATATGACTCTGGTCAAGCTGTTCTTGCCATCTCCAGCCATTTGAGCCAACCCAGCTGAGACCTCTAATGCTGGGAAGCAAAGACAAGCCATTCCTGCTTTGCCTTGCCCAAACTCCAACCCACTGATCATGAGTATAATAAAATAGTAGGGCCGGGCGCTGTGGCTCACGCCTGTAATCCCAACACTTTGGGAGGCCAAGGCAGGTGGATCACAAGGTCAGGAGTTCAAGACCAGCCTGGCCAAGATGGTGAAACCTTGTCTCTACTAAAAATACAAAAATTAGCTGGGAGTGGTGGCAGGTGCCTGTAATCCCAGCTACTTGGGAGGCTGAGGCAGAGAATTGCTTGAACCTGGGAGGTGAAGATTGCAGTGACCCAAGATTATGCACTCCACCCTGGGAGACAGAGTGAGACTCCATTTCAAAAAAACAAACAAACAAAAAAAACACAGTAGTTGTTTTATGCCACTAAGTTTTGGAAAGGATGGTTATGTAGCATTAGATAACCAAGCAGCAGTAACATGATAGTGTCCCCAAGAAGATGTTACCTTCTCCTGCCCACCAGAGAAGATTCTGTCTTGGCCTACTCAGATTCTTTCCCTCCCCTGCCTTCCAAGGAGGGTCCTACCTTCCCAGACCAGTTGTTTTGTTTTGTTTTGTTTCAGTGGAGAATTAAGAAGAAAGGAAGAAGGAAAGAGGACCACAATGCAGTTTTTTGGAGGGAAGGGGCAGTCGTTGGAAAAAAAAAAGAAAGAGCAGCTACAGTATGTGAAAACATTGGATGGGAAAGGGATGAAGAGGGAATTCTAAGAAGTCTCATGGGAAGCTAAATGTTTCTATAGTGTTCAAAATGTACAAATAAAGTATACGGAATATTTTTAAATTTGTTCTGGCTGCGTGGACTGTGTTCTTACATTTAGGGCTAGCTCAGTCATGGCTGACGCTTAGTCATTGCTTTCTAAGAGTTATCCTGCTAAGTGCTACAAAGAAAATGTAGGGGTTGATATGATAGTATACACTGGTGAACTTGCTGGTCTGTTGGGATCAGGGAAGGCTTCAAATGAGAAATTGACAATGAGTCTGGATCCTGAAGGATGAGTTGCAGTTAACTGGGCAAAAAAATGGGGGAAGATTCTTCCAGACAGAAAGATCAGCCTGAAAGGAGAATGGTTTAGTAAAGAAACCCAAATGAAGGCCAGCAGGTCTAGAGTGTGGTGAACACTGCGAAGAGTGCTGAGATGAGAGAAGGGAATTGGTTGGTATCTGAGTCTATTAAGCCAGGAGCACCAGGCCTGTCAGTTACTTCAGTAGAGCTCTTATCTTCCCCCAAATACCCTGTAATCAGTGGACACAATCTGGCAACAGGAAGCAGAAATGTTGAATGTCTGTGACTAAAGTTGGCAGATGTGATAGTGGTATCCAGCCCCTGGCCACTGGGTCCCCCTGGCCACTGGGTTCAGCAGTAGCTGATAGCATCTTCATTACTGCCATTTCCTGAGGAGGAAAGAGGTCACTTCTGGTTCCATGGTAAGTTTCATAAGCTGGTCCAGGATTTAACCAGAGCCTTAGGAAGTTAGGCCTGTCTCATGTCTTCAGAGTGAGGTGAGATTGCAGGCTCCTCAAATGACAAAAACAACACCCCTCTCTGCCTCACAGAGTTATTATGAAGAATGAATAAAATAATAACAGCTGTGAAAGCATGGCATAATCACGATAGCCTATCCAAATGGGAGGGTGAGAGTGACAAACAGGAAAAAGGAGAATAATAATAATAGAGTTCTGATGCCAAAGAGGACAAAGGCCTCTGATGCCTTGGGGTTGGGTGTTTTGGTCAAGGTACAAAAGCAGCAAAATACCATCTTTTAATGATAAGACCTGGGTGACAGGACTAACTTTGAAAGACTTCTCAGACATTACAAACGAGTTCCGGCTGAGACCAGCATTCCATGAAAAACCCCAATTTAGTGATAATTCCGCTGCGACGAAGTCCAGATCTACTGCCACATTGAATGCATGAAAATCCATGTCAGCCTGACCCACTGAGGACAGGGCTAGGAGTACAATTAGGAGAAGCTTACTACATGTAGCATTTGAGACTTGAGAATTAAAGTTCATAGATAGCTATAGAGGGGAAGGAATGACATTCCAAAAACAGGTAGCTGCATGTGCAGACATATGGGAGCAAAAACAAAACAAAACAGGCCAGGTGCGGTGGCTCACTCCTGTAATCCCAGCATTTTGGGAGGCCAAGGCAGGGGGATCATGAGGTCAGGAGTTCGAAACCAGCCTGACCAATATAGTGAAACCCAGTCTCTAATAAAAATTAAAAAATTATCCAGGCACGGTGGCACACACCTGTAATCCCAGTTACTCAAGAGGTTGAGGCAGCAGAATTTCTTGAACCTGGGAGGTGGAGGTTGCAGGGAGCCAAGATCACGCCACTGCACTCCAGCCTGGGCAATAGAGGGAGACTCTGTCTCAAAAAACAAACAAAAACAACAACAACAAAAAAAAATGTGTGTGAGAGATGAAGGAGAAAAAGGACTGCGGAATGTTGTAGAATGGTATTTTGGCCAAGATTCTTTAGTCTTTGCGGTCAGAAAGGTGGCACAAGACAGGATTTTTTAAGGAGAAAAAAATATACTCAATAGTCTAAAACTATAAGACTATTTAGACTATACTCAATAGTCTATAAGTTTTTCCTCTAGGATCAGAAACAAGGTAAGGATGCATACTCCCACCACTTTTATTCAACATAGTACTGGAAGTCCTAGCCAGAGCAATTAGGCAAGGAAAAAAAAAGAAAAGAAAGAAAACATTCTGATTGGAAAGGACAAAATAAAATTATCTCTGTTCACAGATGATATGATCTTATATGTAGAAAACCCCAAGATTCCACCTCTCAAAATGTTTAGAACTAGTGAGTGAATTCAGCAAAGTTGCAGGATACAAAATCAACACTCAAAAATCAGCTGTATCAGTGTATTTCTATACACTAACAATGAACAATCCAAAAAGGAAATTACAAAAACAATTTCATTTATAGTAGCATCAAAAAGAATAAAATGGCTAGGCACAGTAATCTCAACACTTTGGGCAACTGAGGCAGGAGGATCACTTGAGGTCAGGGTTGAAGACTAGCCTGAGCAACACAGTAAGACCCCATCTCAAAAAAAAAAAGTATAAAATGTTAAGATGTATATTTTAAAAAGAGTAAAATACTTAATAAGTAACTTAACCAGGAAGGTAAAAGACTTGTACAATGAAAACTACAAAACGTTGCTGAAGGAAATTAAAGAAAACACAAATAGGCCAGTCACAGTGACTCACACCTGTAATCCCAACACTTTGGGAGGCAGAGGCAGGTAGATCACCTGGGGTCGGGAGTTCAAAACCAGCATAACCAACATGGAGAAACCCCATCTCTACTAAAAATACAAAATTAGCTGGGTACGGTGGTGCATGCCTGTAATCCCAGCTACTCAAGAGGCTGAGACAGGAGAATCACTTGAACCCAGGAGGCGGAGGTTGCAGTGAGCCAAGATTGTGCCATTGCACTCCAGCCTGGGCAACAAGAGCGAAACTCTGTCTCAAAAAAAAAAAAAGAAAAGAAAAGAAAAGAAAAAAGAAAACACAAATAAGTGGAAAGTTATCCTATGTTCATTGATTAGAAGACTTAATTTTGTTAAGATGTCAATACTACCCAAAGCAATCCACAGATTCAGTGCAATCTCTATCAAAATCCCAATGACATTTTTTGCAGAAATAGAAAAAAATAAAAATCCTACTCCAGGCATGGTGACTCATACCTGTAATTCTAGCACTTTGGGAGGCGGAGGTGGGAGGATCACCTGAGGTCAGGAGTTCAAGACCAGCCTGACCAATGTGATGAAACACCATCTCTACTAAAAATACAAAAATTAGCTGGGTGCGGTGGCAAGTACCTGTAATCCCAGCTACTCAGGAAGCCGAGGCGGGAGAACTGCTTGAACCTGGGAGATGTTCAAGCCGAGATCACACCCTTGCACTCCAGCCTGGGTGACAAGAGCAAAACTCCCTCTCAAAAAAATAAAGAAAAAAAAATCCTAAAATTCATATGGAATCTCAAGGGACCCCAAATAGCCAAAACAATCTTGTAAAAGAAGAATAAGCTGGAGGCCTCACACTTCCTGATTTCAAAACTACTACAAAATTACAGTAACCAAAACAGTTTGTACTGGCATAAAGACACGCATATAGACCAATGGAATAGAATAAAGAGCCAAGAAAGAAACCTTTGCATACATCATCAAGTGGCATTTGACAAAGGTGCTAAGCCCCTTCAAAGGGGAAAGGACAATCTTTTCAACAAATAATATTGAAAAAACTGGATATCGTCCACAGGCAAAATAATGAAGTTGGATTCTTGCCTAACATGATATACAAAACTTAACTTAAAATAGATCAAAGACCCAAAGGTAAGACCTAAAACTCTTAGCAGAAAACATAGGACAAATTTTCACTACATTAGATTTGGCAATGAGTTCTTGGCTTTGATGCCAAAGACATAGGCAACAAAAGAAAAAATAGACAAATTGGACTTCATGGAAATTTTTAAATTTTGTGCATCAAAAGACAATCTCAACAGGGCAAAAAGACAACCCACAGAATGGGCAAAAATATTTGCAAGGCATATATCGCATAAGAGTTTAATATTTAGAATATATAAAGAACTCCTCAATCTCAACAACAAAAAAAAACCCTCAAATTTTAAGTGGGCAAAGGACTTGAATATTCAAAGAAGGTATGCAAAAACACTAATGCTCAACATTACTAATGTTGATTAGATGCTCAACCTTATTAATCATTAGGGAAATGAAAATCAAACTACAATGAGCTATCACTTCACACCCATTAGGATACCTACTATCAAAAAAAGGAAAGAGTGAGTGTTGGCAAGGATGTGGAGAAATTGGAAACCTTGTGCACGGACAGTAGGAATGTAAAATGATATAGTCATTGTGGAAAACAATATGATGGTTCCTCAAAATGTTAAAAATAGGATTACCACATGATCCTGCAATTCCACTTCTTGGTATTACCCAAAAGAATTGAAAATGGGGTCTCAAAGAGTTATTTGTGTATCTATTTCATAACAGCATTATTCATAATAGCTGAAAGGAAAAGCAACCTATGTCCATGGAGGGATGAATAAGCAAAATGTGGCATATGCATACAATGGAATATTCTTCAGCTTTAAAAAGGAAGGAAATAGTGATACATGCTGCATGGATGAAGGCTGAGGACATTATGCTAAATGAAATAAGCCAGTTGCAAAAAGACCAACATTATATGATTCCACTTATATGAGGTACTTACAGACTAATCTAAATCATAGACACAGAAGTAAAATGGTGGTTGCCAGGATTGTGGGGAGAGGAGAATGGGGAGCTGTTGTTTAGTAGGTGTAGATTTAGTTTTACAAGATGAAAAGAGTTACGAATGGTGATGATGGTTGTACAATGTTATGAATATAGTTAATATTACCGATTGTATACCTAAAAATAGTTAAGACGGTAAATTTTATGTTATGTGTACTTTACCACAATAAAAAAATTAGAAAAAAAAGCCAAGCCGAGTAGTAAAATCTCTGGACAAGACAAAGAGGAGGGGAATCTGGTATAAAACCAGAGGTGGAGAAATCAGGAAGAACAGGCCAAGTCAAGGATCCAAACCCAAGGGCAAGGGGCAAAGCCTGAAGAAATGACTGAGATTTTCTCATGGTCCCTATGGGTGGTCCGAGGAATTGTGGGTAATTCCCAGCTCAGGTGTAACATACATGTACAGTTGATGCTTGAACAACACAGGTTTAAACTGTGTGGGTCCACTTACATGCAGTTTTTC